CGATACGGTTTCTGGTTCAATCATACGATTTCAGCTGAAGATCCCCAGAACAAAGCTCTCATTAGCAGGTGTTTTGAAGAGAAAATATATCAAAACAGATTCTAAGTTTTTTAAAACTTCCATTTAGGTCGCAGTATCGACAAGCAATGAAAGCATTTATGCCCTACTTTGGTGGATCGCCTCTTGTCGAAAACGCACTTCTGCACGCTTATCAGTACGTATCTGAACGGGAAACAACACCGTAAGTTGTAAATTTTGAACAAAACATATAATAAACAAATACAGCGAGGGAATCACAATGAAACCTTCTTTCCTTTGCATAGGATTGAAAACTATGATAATCGTACCCAATTCTGTGTGCACAGAGAAGACTATAGGTAAAAAAATCCATTCAAAAAGCCCCAATTTTTTTCTTTTCTTGAAATAAGCAATTTTCTAAAATTTAAAAATTTCTATTATTGTCTTGATCTGAAAATCAGGTCCTGTGCTTTAGGCATGTGTACTGATAAAAAAAACAGCAAAAAAATCCCAGTGAACAAGGTTGTTAATTTGATACCTCAAAATTCACATTTTTAAGTTGCAATCTAACTGTGATGGGAATGCCACATGATATGGTAAATGGGATTTGCGGTAATTGGGAGATACTTGCTCATAATTCGCAGTGATAAGCAATCACTTTTTGAACAAACATTATCTTTGGAAACTGCAAAATAATACTATTACTCATGTAACCTCTGAGGTATAATAAATACTTCTATAATGGAACTAACGTCAAGCGTCTCATCCAAAGTAAGAAAAATTCTCTGTTTTGGGATTCATTCTTGAGTCATTCTCACGACGACCATTTTGAGTTGAACTTTCTAGAAAAATACAAAAGTCTAGAAAAGCTCCTGAGAAAAAAGAAAATCAGCTGTGGCCGACAAAGCCCAAGCATCGCTCTTTGTGCAGTAAACCTAAATTATGTGCTGAAATCAAAAAATTAACTTATAAAATTTACACGTTGGGCAGTATTGCAACGCAAATATTATCCAGGAAGTATCATTCTGTATGTGTGTGTGGGTTTCTCTATCTGTCACGAAATTAGTTCATTTGTCCTAAGAAAGTCAAAGAGCAATTATCAAGCGTTATCATGTTAACTGCAGCACACTAAATAAACATGAGCAATTTTGTTGTAAAAACGTGGT